AGTTCAAAAAGAGATGGCTCAGTGGTTAAGAGCACTTGCTGACCTTATAGAGGACCCAGGTTTGATTCCCAGTACCCACATAGCAGCTCCCCAGTTCCAGGGGATCCCATGTCCTCTTCTGGCTTCTGTGGGCATGAGTGTGATGCACAGGCATACACACATAAATAAATATTTTTTTTTCGAGACAGGGTTTCTCCATGTTGTTTTGGTGGCTGTTCTGGATCTCTCTCTATAGACCAGGCTGGCCGCGAACTCACAGAGATCCACCTGGCTCTGCCTCCCGAGTGCTGGGATTAAAGGCGTGTGCCACCACTGCCTGGCCAAATCAATATATATATATTCCGTTTTTCAAGACAGGGTTTCTCTGTAGCTTTGGAGCCTGTCCTGGACTAGCTCTGTAGACCAGGCTGGCCTCGAACTCACAGAGATCTGCCTGCCTCTGCTTCCTGAGTGCTGGGATTACAGGCGTGCGCCACCACCGCCCGGCCAATATTTTTTTAAAGAAAAAAAAAAGTCCAAGACTATCATCTTCTACATGTAGAGTTTGAGACCAGCATGGGCTACATGGGATCCTGAGTTTTTGTTTTGTTTTTTGTTTTCGCCAGCAAAATAAGTAAAAAATAAAAAGGCATGTGGCCTCCCAGCTACTCAGGAGGCTAGGGCAGGGTGATTGCTTGAGCCCAGGGCTTTGAGGCCAGTTTGGGTAACACAGTCAGACACTCTCACACCTGCAAACATCAGTAATAGCAAAAGGCAGGTGGGCCACCTTCGGACCCACCCTCAACTTGAAGCCCTTTCAGCTGGGCAGCTCCTGCCCCTCTTGGCTGCCCACATTGTGCAGGACAGATATCCATGGTCCTGTTTTACAGACAGAGGTCAGAGCCAGAGGGAAAGGAAGTCTCTTGTCAGAGGGCTCCACCCTGGCCTGCTTCCCACAAAGAGAAGAGTAATTGGCAGTTTGCCTCTGGAGCTGTGTCTGGAGGCTGGGAAATGGCTCCAGTGACCCTAGCTGAGCTTGGGTCTCCAAAGCCAGATATTAAGGGAGTAGAACTCTGTGCTTACCTGTGTGAGCTTGCTGGATGGTAAGTGGAACAGGGTCTGCTAGTAGCAGTGGAGGGGGACAGAGGAGGAGCTTTCTAAGAACTGAGGACCTGCCTGGGGAGGCAGTGGTGGTTCGGGATAGGGTAGGGTTCTGGGCATCTCAGTCCTTGCAGATACCTTGCCATGAAAACTCCTTCCTAATCCTGGGAAAAAGGAAGAAGGCTTCAAGCCAGCCAGGGGCCCCCTGAGGCCTGGGGAGGAGGAAAGCAAGACAGAAATAGAAACGGAGCCAGAGGGAGGAAGCTGGTCTGGGCAGAGAGGGTGGGAGGCAGCAAGGACGGCGGCTCCGGAGAATTCCAGGCCAGGTGGATCCCTCACCCAGTGGCCCAATATCCATGTCACTGACAATGATACCTAGGTGCAGAGTGCTCCCACCAACTGGGCCCTGTGCTCACACATCCTGCCTAATATGTGAGTGAGTATAGCATCGAACCCAAGGCTCTACACATGACACTCACGAAAGGTCATCACTCCTGTAAGAAGCAGAGCCACAATTTGTAGCTCTGTACCCTGCAGCTCATGGACTGATAAAGCTTTACTGAGCATGTGCCATATGCCTGGCCCAGTGTAGGGCTTTAGCAATGAATAAACTGCTAGGCATGGTGGCACAAGCCCAAAATCCAGCATTTGGGAGACAGAGGTGGGAGGGTCTCAGATTCCAGGCCACCTGATGATATAGTAAGACCCTGTCTCAGAAATAAAGGCTGAGAGCTGGGCAGTGGTGGGGCACGCCTTTAATCCCAGCACTCAGGAGGCAGAGGCAGGCGGATCTCTGTGAGTTTGAGGCCAACTTGGTCTACAGAGTGAGTTCCAGGACAACCAGGGCTGTTACACAGAGAAACCCTGTCTTGAAAACCTTCCTATCTATCTATCTATCTATCTATCTATCTATCTATCTATCTATCTATCTATCCATCCATCTATCATCTATCCATCTATCATCTATCCATCTATCTATCTATCTATCATCTATCTATCTCTCTCTCTATCTATCTATCTATCTAATCTGTCCATCCATCCATCCATCCATCCATCTATTTTATTTCTCTTTTTTGTTTTTATTTTTGAGATAGAGTCTTTCAACACAGCCCTGGATGTCCTGGAACTCACTATATAGACCAGGCTGGCCTAGAACTCACAGAGACTGACCTGCCTCTGCCTCCCAAGTGCTGGGATTAAAGGAGTGCACTACTACCACCTGACTCCAGCTTTTTACTTTTAAGTGTGTGTGTGGGGTGTGTGCACATGAGTGCAGTGCTCACTGAGGTCAGAGGTGTTGGATCCCCTGGAGATTCAGTTCCAGGCAGTTATGAGCTGCCTGATGTGAGTCCTGGAACTGAACTTGAGTCCTCTGCAAGAGCAGCAAGGGCTCTTAACAGCTGGGTTATCTGTCCAGCTGCACCCCAACCTCTGAACTCCCCACATCACCACACCCCACAGTTCCACAGGACCATGGGGAAAATCAACTAGCACCAAAGCATATTCTCTCTCTCTCATCTCTGAGTTTCACTATATAGTCCTGGCTGACTTCAAACTTATGCATTTCCATATTTTGATGATAGAAGCGATACATTCTTGAGGCTGGAGAGATGGCTGACTTGGGTGGTAAAGTGCTAGCCTCACAAGTATGAGGACCTGAGTTCGAGTCTCCAGAACCCATCTGGGAGCTGGGGGAAGTCAGGCATGGTGACATGTGCTTGTGACCCAGGGCCAGGGATACAGAAATAGGAGGTTCTCTGGGGCTCGCTGTACAGCTAGCAGAGCCTAATTGACAAGCTGCGGACAATAACTAAAAAATAAAAGTTAAACAAAACGAGGTGGACAGTTATTGAGGGATGACAGCTGAGGTCCTTTGTCCTCCAGGGATGACAGTTATTGAGGGATGACAGCTGAGTGCACCTTTGTCCTCCAGGTACACTCACACAAACCTACCTATATGCACATGAACACACACTCACAAGCACACAGATATAAGCAATGCATGATGAAAGACCCACGAGATAGCAGTCTTGTGAGACAAACACAAAGTTGCAAGCTCTGTGTTTAAGAACATTGCCCTGCCCACCTCACTGTCTCTGTTCTGGGTCTAACTGCATCATCTTCCTAGGGGCAGATGGTTGGAGATAGAGGTTTCTCTCCAGCCTGGAGTGTGAGTCTTCTTTGTTTGTTGGGTTTTTTGTTGTTGCTTTTGATTTTGAGATAGGATATCAAGTAACCCATGCTGCTTTGAACTAGATATGTAGCCTAGGATGACTTTGAACTGTTGATTCTCATGATTCCACTTTCTCAGCCCTGAGATTGCAGGAATGTGCCACCATCACATTCAGAATAATACACGTTCTTTTTTTGTTTATGTAATTACACTTGGAGGCTGGAGAGATGGCTCAGTGGTTAAGAGCTTCTCTTCCAGAGGACCTGGGTTTGAATCCCAGCACCCACATGGTGGCTCACAGCCATCTGTAACTCTAGTTATAGGGGATCTGATGCCCTCTTTTGGCCTCTGTGTGCACTGCATATACCTGGAGCATAGACACAAGCCAGTAGAACACCGATACACATAAAGTGATAACAGTAATTTAAAACTACACACCCTAACGTGGGTGTGGTGGTCAGAGGATGAGTGGGAGGATGAGTTCTTTCCTTGTACTGTGTGGTTCCTGGATAGCAAGCTCCTGTCCACAGTTCTAGAGCCGAGCAATCTTGTGGAGTCTAATAAACTGGTTTTGTTTTGGGTTTTATTTTTTGTTTGTTTTTTGAGACAGGGTTTCTCTGTGTAGCCTTGGCTGTCCTGGAACTCACTCTGTAGATCTTTTTTTTTTTTTTTTCGAGACAGGGTTTCTCTGTGTAGCTTTGCGCCTTTCCTGGAACTCACTTTGGAGACCAGGCTGGCCTCGAACTCACAAAGATCCGCCTGCCTCTGCCTCCCGAGTGCTGGGATTAAAGGCGTGTGCCACCACCACCCGGCTCACTCTGTAGATCTTTAAACTCACAAAGACCTTCCTGCCTCTACCTCCCAAGAGCTGGGATTAAAGGTGTACGCCACCACTGCCTGGCAATACACTTGATCTTATGTGTGATGACAAACTCCTTTTTATTTCTGCCATATGAGTTGGGTTTTCTTTCGTTTTTTTTAAAGATTTATTTATTTATTATGTATACAGAAGAGGGTGCCAGATCTCATTACAGATGGTTGTGAGCCACCATGTGGTTGCTGGGACTTGAACTAAGGACCTCTGGAAGAGCAGTCAGTGCTCTTAACCTCTGAGCCATCTCTCCAGCCCCGGGTTTTCTTTCTTTAGACGTATGTGTGTCTGTGTTTTGCATGCGTGTGTATGAGCTTATATATGCATGTGGAGGCCAAAGGTCAACACCAGCTGACTTCTGAATTGATCTCCATATTTTTTTAAACATGTACTTATTTTTATATTATGTACACACATGAGTGCCAGCATGTATGTATGTACACCAAGGGTGCCCATGAAAGCCAGAAGAGGGCATCACATCCCTGGGACTGGAATTATGTATGCGTGGTTGTGAGCCACCATGTGGGTGCTGGGATCCCAACTTAGGTCCTCTGCAAGAGCAGCCAGTGCTCTTAACTGCTGAGCAGTCTCTCCAGCCCCTAGTCTGAGTGTTTTAATGTGTATGTACTTGCTTGTGTATATATACACGCACCTGTTCGTGGAGGCCTGAGGTGCATGTTGGGTTTCCTCTCAATTACTTTCCACCTTATTTTTTGAGCCAAGGTCTATAACTAAATCTGAAGCTTACCAACTGCTAGATTGGCTGGAAAGCTAGCCCTAGGGATCCTTGTCCTGCGTCCACTTCCAAAGCTCAGTATATCTTTTCTTTTTCTTTTTACATGGGTACTGGGGATCAGAGCTAAAGTTCTCACTGGTGTATAACCTCTCCTGCCCATGTTGGGTTTTCTGCTTCCTTATTATAGGAGACAGCAACCTGAATGAGAGAGACCCCCATCTGTCTCAGAGACATTATTTAAAGGAGAGCTACACAGCACATACAGACCAGAGAAAGACTATAAGCATGTTTATAAATACATGTGAATGTGGATAAGCCACCCAATGACACATCTTTGGTTAGCTGCTCATTCGGAGAGGTGGTCCCTTGGATACATATCACAGAAGACAAACACATAAACGCACAGTCTTGAATGTCCTCTGCACCACACAGACAGACATCCACACTTAGTCACATGCCCACAACCCCACAGAAACACATCCTCAAGGATCACACATCACAGCAGAGTCCAGCTCCTCACTGCTTATTTGCATATATTGTATAAAAGTATGAAAATAAACCCAACCTGGGTTGCAGCTTCATAAATAAAGGGTGAGAGGAAATAAGTTAAGGTAGGTGTGGGGCCAAGTGTAGAGTGTAGAGTCTTGGACACACGGTGCCGGGCCTCTGTACTCAGACACACTGATCTCCGCTCGCCACACACTTCAGGTCCCCGGTGAGCAGGCGGAAGAGGTTGAAAGTGACAGAGGCCTCCAGGCAGCCGGGGATCTCCTGAAAGGACAGGGCTGGCTCAGGGGCTGCGGGGACTCAGGGCTTCCAGGCTCTGCAGAGCCCAGTCCCCTCCCCAGACTCACCTTCCTCTGGGCCTCCTGGAGCCTGTGCAGCCAGCGTGAGAGGCGGCGGCTCAGAGGCCTGGGCTCTGCTGTGGGCTCAGGCTGCACCTGTGGACAGAGGAGGGGACTGTGAGCCTGCTGCTGGGACACAGGGGAAGCCCAGGTGGCTGGAGGGACGATGTGGAGGAGCCGGGGACCCAGGATTTACACAGGCCCGCAGCTGTGAGTGGATGTGGCGCAGGGTGTGAAGAGGCTGGTCCAGGATGGGGACCAGGGCTGAGTCAGTCATGTTCTCTAGGACCTTCAGTGTCAGGGCCAGCTCAGCCTGCAAGGCCTTGGGGCGCTCCTGGACCTGAGAATAGATGAGAAATAACACATAAGGGGGAGAAACAGGCAAGAGGGCTGAGGTGATGGCTGGGCGTGTGGCTCAGAGTGTTTGACCAGAAACTTCCACTGATGGGATGGGGTGTGGCTCATTGGTGGAGTCCCTACCTAGAATCCCCCAGTGAGGGGCTGGGGGTGTGGCTCAGTGGTAGAGCCCCTGCCTAGAATCTCCCAGTGAAGGGCTGGGGTGTGGCTCAGTGGTAGAGGCCCTGCCTAGAATCCCCCAGTAAGGGGCTGGGGGTGTGGCTCAGTGTGGAGCCCCTGCCTAGAATCCCCCAGTGAGGGGCTGGGGGTGTAGTTCAGTTGTAGAGCCCCTGCCTAGAATCTCCCAGTGAAGGGCTGGGGTGTGGCTCAGTGGTAGAGCACCTGCCTAGAATCCCCCAGTGAGGGGCTGGGGGTGTGGCTCAGTGGTAGAGCCTCTGCTTAGAATCCCCCAGTGAGGGCTGGGGCATGGCTCAGTGGTAGAGCCCCTGCCTAGAATCCCCTAGTGATGGGCTGGGTACGTAGCTCAGTGGTAGAGCCCCTGCCTAGAATCTCCCAGTGAGGGGCTGGGGGTGTGGCTCAGTGGTGGAGCCCCTGCCTAGAATCCCCCAGTGAGGGGCTGAGGAGTGGCTCAGGGGTAGAGCCCCTGCCTAGAATCCCCCAGTGAGGGGCTGGGGTGTGGCTCAGTGGTAGAGCCCCTGCCTAGAATCCCCCAGTGAGGGGCTGGGGAGTGGCTCAGGGGTGGAGCACGTACATAGCCTGTGTGAGACTTGAACTGAGTCCTATACCACATACACACCTGTCCCAAATCCCAAAAAGCACAGGTAAGTTGGGTTGTGTAAGGAATACAATGCAGGGCGAAGGTGGTGCAGGGCACAGGTGATGGATGTGGGATCCAGAGGCCCCAGGAGTGCTCCAGGAGGAATACAGATGAGGAAGATCCAGGTGAGGAGAAAAGGACGGGAGGAGACATGTGAGGAGGCAAACAAGATGGCAACAACAGGCGGGCTCTGGGCTCACGGAGGTTTGACAGAGCAGGGACCAGGAGGGAGGTGGAGGAGATGGAGGAGGAGGCTGCAGGGGAGGATGGAGGATGGAGGATGGAGAGGAGCACAGAGCAGGGGAGCAGGGACCAGGAGGGAGGTGGAGGAGATGGAGGAGGAGGCTGCAGGGGAGGATGGAGGATGGAGAGGAGCACAGAGCAGTGGAGCAGGGACCAGGAGGGAGGTGGAGGAGATGGAGGAGGAGGCTGCAGGGGAGGATGGAGGATGGAGGATGGAGAGGAGCACAGAGCAGGGGAGCAGGGACCAGGAGGGAGGTGGAGGAGATGGAGGAGGAGGCTGCAGGGGAGGATGGAGGATGGAGAGGAGCACAGAGCAGTGGAGCAGGGACCAGGAGGGAGGTGGAGGAGATGGAGGAGGAGGCTGCAGGGGAGGATGGAGGATGGAGGATGGAGAGGAGCACAGGCTGGGAGAGGATCATTTTAAGAGATGAAGGACAGCCGGGCGGTGGTGGCGCACGCCTTTAATCCCAGCACTTGGGAGGCAGAGGCAGGTGGATCTTTGTGAGTTCGAGGCCACCCTGGTCTACAGAGAGAAATCCAGGAAAGGCGCAAAGCTACACAGAGAAACCCTGTCTCGAAAAATCGAAAAAAAAAAAAAAAAAGAGATGAAGGACAGAGGGGAGAGGCTGTGTGAGGGGAAATGAGGTAAGTGAAGAGAGCAGACAGGGAGAAGCAGGGGGCGGGACAGGCCATGGGCAGGCTGGGCGAGAAAGGACGAGAAGGATGAGCCAGGTGTGGTATCACGGTCTATCCCAGCATGGTCAGAGGCTGAGGCCGAGGGTCTCCAGGACCTCAAGACTGAGTCCAGCCTCAGCGAGACCCTCGTGTTCCCCTGCCCCCCCAAAAGAGATTGAACTAAAGGAGCTAGGTAAGCATAGAAGGGGCAGAGGCACTTGAGGAACGCAGGGTTTGGGGACAGGCAAAGGAGCAACTTTAGGAAGGGAGGGATAAGGCAAGCGGGTAATCCTCTCCTGGCTTCCAACTCACCTGCAGCTGGCCCAGTTTCCGGCTACTGGGAAAGGGATTGGTGCTACACCTGACATCCTTCTGTAGCAGCAATTCTTCCTGAAGAGAAAGGCACAGGTTAGCCCACACAGGAGAGATGGGGCCTACTTCACAGCAGCAAGAGTGAAACTTGGCCTGGCTCAAGCCTAGCCTGCAGCAGAAGGTTAGAGGTTAGCCCACAGTGGCAGGCTAACATCTTCATCCCAGTAGGAAAGCTGTAGGGTAGCCCGTTATGGTAACAGCGACACACCAAAGCATCCTTGGCTTTCTTGAAGACTCCTAGCTCCCGTCGTGACACAGACTGGAAAATGCTAATGTGACAGCCTGTTCTGGCTGGAGTGGGCTTGGAAGGAGGGACAGGAGCAGCTGTGGCCAAGCCCAGCACCATGGTCACCAGACTCAGCAGCCACAGTGCAGCCATGCTCAAGTCCCAAGTGTCTCCTGAGCTGCATGGCTCTGCTTTTTAAGCCAGGCTACACATGCTACCCTTGATGATGTGTCCAAAGCAGGAGGTGGAGTCGGGGGGAAGAAGGGAAACGAAAATGCACCCATAAGAGGCACCAGGAGGTGGAGCCAATTCCTGGGCCAGGTAGGTGAGCTGGTATGGGCGTGGCCAGGTGTGTGATGTTCCAGGAAGGAAAGAGAAACAGAATCCAGTGTCCGGAGTCTGCAAAACCATCTCCTTCAGGACTTGGAAGGCCAGGGCTCCCCAATTTAGACTACATTGAAGGGAGGGAGCAGTAGCGGGAACGGGCAGAAGGTTCAAGGTCACAGTGGGACCGGGAGGTGGAGGGTGGGCGTGTGTGGAACAGACTCCCTGACTGAGAAGGGTGTCTCATTAAATTCCAACGAATGAGTAATTGCTGTTGTGGTTGTGTAGATTATTTTTGGGTGTCGTCGTCCTCGTGCTTGAAGGTAGCCAGGTAGCTGGAAAGTCTTCGTTTCTGGGTATTTGAGGGTGTTTGGGGAAAAGGCAGGCCTGTGAGTCAGTAGGCTGACTGAGGGAGGAGGAGCCTCCTGTAGAGTGAGGTCTTTGACAGGAGGAAGATTTGGAGTTGAGAGCTCTTGGATGTCAGGACTCCACATTCTCAGGGGCTGCAGAGACGGCCGTGGGTAAGAGCACTTACTGGTCTGTAGAGGACCTGGGTTATCCCCATGGCAGCTCACAAGTGTCGTAATTTCAGTTCCAGGGTCCCTGATGCCTTCTTCTGGTCTCTGAGGCACAAATGTGGTACAAATGCACACATGCAGACAGACACTCATATACATAAAATAAAAAGAAATAAATCTTAAAAAACAAAAACAAAGCCACGAAACCCTCCACGTTCTCTCACTGAGCACGGTGGTTCATGGCTGGCTGCCTGTTGTTGAGGGGTACACGACTGTGTGGGCTGGGATTCTGCTTCTTGGAAGAACCCTGACCTGTATAACGGTTGCCCCTCTTTTCTGATGACTGCCTTGGGGTCCCTCCACTGGTCAGCAACAGCCTAGGGCGTGAACTGAACTCTGTTTCACCCCCCTGTGCATGCTGCTGAGAGATAGGTTAAGAGCCTGGACAGAGCTGGAGCTGGGGGTGGTGGTAGGTGCTTTTAACCCCAGCACTCTAGAGAGGGAAGCAAGAGGGTTGTTCGGGACCAGACGAGGCTGTATAGCAAGATGGCTGAGGAGATGGCTCAATTGGTAAAATGTCTTGCCTCGCAAGCATCGGGACCTGAGTTTGATCTCCAGGACACATGTTAAAAGCCATACAACACTGCATGCCTGCCATCACTGTGCTGGGGGAGGCAGACCCAAGGCTCCCTGGGTTTGCTGGCTAGCCAGTCTACACAATTGGTGAGCTCCAGGTTCAGTGAGAGACCCCCAAAATAAAACAATTTGAAGAGCGACTGTGGAAGACACCTGGTAACAGCTTACAAACACACACACACACACACACACACACACACACACACACACACACACACACGGCCTCAACACAGGTGTCTCCTTTCTGACTGTTGGGTAACATGGAACAGCAAGGGAGGTCCTGGCTTGCCGGGGACCAAGGCACTTCCTAGGGCAAGCTGGGGAAGGGTCTGGGGCTCTGCTGTTTCTGGTCACCCCTGGAGTCATCAGAGCCGCATAACCAGTGAGCACTTGCTGTGGTGCCACTGCAGTCTTGATTTCTCCATTTCTTCTCAGTCCTCAGTGCCTGAGGTTGTTAATCATACTTCTCAGATCACAACACAGAACCACAATTGGCCCATAAAAGACTCTCCCATCCCCACCCCCACCAGTCCGCCTCCCAGACGCCCACTTCAGCGGGCCTGATATACAACTGCCAAGAGGCACCGTTTTAATTTGTGACTTGGTGTGTCTATGCGTTTCCAATTTACACAAATGAGATTGTGCTATAAATCCACTAACTTTGAAAAAAAATTAAAACTTAACGCTACGTCGCTGAGATCTCCCCACACAGCTGCGGACATCCAGTTCCCTCTGTAACTGACAGTGTGCCCACAGCGCCTGTACTTACCCACTCGCCCAGAGACGGGCATTTAGGTTGCCTCCAGCTCCCCGTTCCCGTAAGGCCCACACCTGTCCTCTGTGTGGGAGAGTTTTTAGAGTCTTCTGCGGCACACCAGCTGGTACCCTCCCACCACATCCCATGGGCACACTTTTGCACTCACTCGTGGAACGGGTGGGCAGTCCCCACACAGTGACAGCTTCCCACCCATGTGCCCAGATCTCGTTGCTCCTCTAGGTCTCTCTACTGTGTGGATGCAGAGCAGACCGGAAGTGGAAGTACCATTAGTACTTTCTTCAGGAGCAATCCCTACCCAGGGACCGAGCCGGAAATGAAATGTTACAGCTTTCAGGTTGGCGGGCTGGCTCCGTGGCTGCAAGTGCTTGCAGCCAAGCCTGACCACTCAAGTTCAAAACCCAGAACCCACACGGTGGAAGGAAAGACTCCTGCAATTTGTCTTCTGACATTCCACCTCCACCAAAAATGAACACAATAAATAAATGCAATTTAATAAAATATAAATGCAATTTAAACATACAGCTTCTCTGTCAGTTTCAAGATGGAGATGATTTCTGCATCATCCAAGGGCCCTAACTATCTCAGGGCTGGGAACGGGGTGAGAGAAGTGAATGGCATAAGATGTAGAATTTAGGGTGTTCACTGGGGTGGGCAAGTAAGTTTCTCCCACTACGCCAGCCTGTGCCTGTTGCAAGACTTCATGAGGAGTCTGCTTCTATTCACCCCAGATGGAGGGAACAATAACAGACCAATGAAGGATCCCATAAGTCCAGCTTGGGGAACCAGAACTGTTTGGGAATTACTCACAGGATTCTGAGGGGCTCCCCTCCCCCGCAGCTGCATCACAGAAAAACCCACCCCAGCATGGGTGAGGACTCACAAAAGCTGTGTCCCTGTACTACCTATGGGCAGCTCCACCGAAGTGGAGCTCCCCCCACCCCAGCAACTGCTTACTGCTGATGTCATTCCCTAGAGGTCCCCTTGACTCTGGTAAGTCACTGTTTTTTTTTTTTTTTTTTTTAATGCTTCTGTGTTCCAGTTCTCCACCCACTTTTGGGGGCGGGCCATCCCCCACATCTCACACCTGTGTTCCTGTCTCCTAGGCTTTGGAGAGAACTCAAGCTCACACATGCAAATTCAGGAGTAGGACTATGATGTCATGGGGTCGCAGGTCACACCTGTGTCTATATGGTCTACTTGGTGCCGTTCACCAGAACTTCCCTACATGATGGAGCGGTTGTGTCTCTGTCCCCTCCAGGACAGCACAGCACAATTGCTCTCCATGTGGATAAACTCCACACCCACAGAGCCAACCCACTGATTAGTGTTGTGGGTTTGTTTTGTTTTGTTTAACTGAGTCAGGGTCTCATTGTGCAGCCTGGCTGTCCTTGAATTCACTCTGTAGACCAGGCTGGCCTCAAACTCACAGAGATCTGTCTATCTCTGCCTCCCAAGTACTGAGATTAAAAGCATGCACCACAGCTTCTGGGTTTTGCCTTTTTTTTTCTTTCTTTCTTTCTTTCTTTCTTCTTCTTCTTCTTCTTGTTCTTCTTCTTCTTCTTCTTCTTCTTCTTCTTCTTCTTCTTCTTCTTCTTCTTCTTCTTCTTCTTTTTGTCTCATGCTATACCCTAGACTACAGAACCATGCACCCCAGGCTAGCCTTAGCTTTGTGAGTAATCCTATTGCCTCAGCCTTCTGAATGCTGGGATTATGGGCCTGTGCTACCACTGGATCCAGCTATGGACTAGGAAAATCAAACTGTATCTGTGCTGAAGCTGTGCAATGGTGTTTTTGAGACAGTGTCTTCTTATGTAGGCTGGACTAGCCTTGAGCCTTGAACTCAGAATTCTCTTGCCTTAGCTGCTCCAGTGCTGAGAATACAAGCATGTGGCCCCACACCTGGTTACATCTCCGCCCTCAGCTCTCAAAACTGATCCAGGGGGCTTGAGAGATGGCTTAGTGGACAAGGTGCTTGCTGTGCAAGTGTGAGATCACGAATTAGGACCCCCGCACCCACCTAAGGAGCCTGGCACCGGGGCACGTGTACTTGTTACCTCATCACCGGGGAGGCAGAGACAGGAGGGTCCAGAAGTTTGCTGGGCAGCCAGCCTAGCCAGATCTCCAGGCTTCGTGAGAGACCCTGTACCAAACAACTGGGTGGAGGATCTGGAGAGAAGGCTCAGGGGTTTACAGCATGGACTGCTCTAGCAGAGGACCTGGGTTGGGTTCCCAGCACCCACGTGGTGGCTCACACTGTCTGTAACTCCAATTCTAGAAGATCTGATGCCCTCCTCAGGCTTCCTTGGGCTCCTGCACACAAGTGGTGCACATGAACTCAAGCAGGCATATAAAAATAAATCTTGGGGGAGGGGAGAGAGAAAGAGAGAACTTTGTGAAAAGTTAGGTGAAGACTGGGCATAGTGATGAACCCTTTAATCCCAGAGGCAGGTGGATCTCTGTGACTTCTAGGCCAGCCTGGTTTACAGAGTGGGTTCCAGGACAGACAGAGATATATAGTGAGATCCTGTTTTGAAGAAAGAAAAAAAAAAAAAAGTTAGGTGGAAAGTGATTGAGGGAGGCACCCTATGTCAACCTCTGGCTTCTGCATGTAGTTGTACGTACACTTGAACACACATGTGCACACCACGCAACATGTACACACACAAGAATTAAAAAATGAAACAAAATAACCTGTTCTACAAGCTGAGCACATGCCTGTGCCACCAGCGCGAGGGAAGCTGAAGAAAGAGGAAGATTGTGAGTTTGAGGTTAGCCTGGGCTACATAGCAAAACTCTGGACCAAAACAAAACTCATCCAAAAGAGCAACACGAAATGCCAGCAACAAGCAAGCCAATAGGAGATGGGCAGAAGACAAGAGCAGATAAACAGATAGTTA